TTTGTAACCCAACAGAGAGACTGTAATTTTTTAATTTCCTAACGTGCTGTGTCCAATTTTGTAATTAAAAGTGAGTAATCTGAAGTGAGTGTGAGCTCATTTGACTTAAAGTAACAGCCTGACAAAGCTCGTTATTTGAGTGTATGAAAAACCCTTTGAAATAAAGACTATTCAGACTTCTCTTCAAATGTCACCACATCTTGATTTCCTACCGAGTTTTCTCTCATCTATCCAATGAGATATTTCGCTTTTGCTCTCTCCATCTGCCTTGTTAAGCTCCTCCTTCAAGCAAGTCTTTTGAAATGTGCCTAATATATACATATATTCTTCAAATTTAAATTCTATATAAATGTAGTAGAGCTCAGGTCAATGCGAACCTCGTATAAAACCTGAATTTGATAATAACTGTCATCTGCTTATCGTATCAATATCTTCGGCTTTTTTGAAATATTTTTTTTTAGCACCTGCGGCTGGCTAATGAAAACGATAATCGCAATTCAATTAAAATTTGAAAAATTTGATTTTATGATGATTTGATTATTTTATTAAAGGACAATTATTCGAGAGGAGCCATCGAAAACGATTCATTGACAATTATTGTTAAATTGAATTTCTCTCTTCTTTTTTGCCATTTATTATAATTCGTTTAGCGAAACGTGCGCTATCGACACGCCCGCAGGTGTATTTAAACTACGTGAAAATAGTTTAAAATAATTCTATACAGATATATCGATGTTGTTGTAATTCTATTAATTTGGCAATTTATTTATATGGCATTTCGGATTTGTCAACGTGTTTGGGGATTGTCTGTGGCTCAGGCTGTGGCTCTCTCTGGCTGTGGCTGCGTGGAGTGGCATCGGCACGTGTTTAATCCTACTAAGTATGCCGTCAAAAATGGTGCACACTGTAGCCAGCCCAGGTCAGAGAGGACGGACGCCGCCAGTTGTCATAAAATGTTAAATACAAATTTATGGCAGACAATGCGCCTCTGGCATACTAAGCGTTCGCATCGGGCAGGAGTCGGGAGAGAGCTGGGCGAGAGGCGGGAGGCGTGAGGCGAGGGGTGGAGAGCCGCACCTAAACGCATTAGCAAAATGAAGCTGTTTCGATAGACATTACAACAATGCTAGAGATTCGCTCCATTGTTATTATTTTGTTTCTGTCCCACATTTGCTGCCATCAAATGTTTCGCCATGCGCTGAGCTGACAAAATCCGGGCAGCAGCTGCTTTTGGCCCCATTCGAATGGGGCTTATAAATGGGTGCTTATAATTCTTGTTAACCTGATTACATTGCAGGTGCTTTAATGGCACTATACCCAACTAGATTTTTGCACACACACACACAGGTGCTCAACAAGCCAATTTTAAATTGAATTGTTGTGAATGCACAAATTGAAGTTTAGAAACTTTGCTGGTTTTTTTTTTTTTTTTTTTTTTTTTCGCAAAAATGGGCTTATTAAAATAGTATTAATAAAAGTAGTAGTAGGAGTAGTAGTCGTAGAAGTGGTAAAGGTAAAAATAGTTGTAGTAGGTAGTAGTAATAATAGTAGTAGTAGTAATAATGAAAGTAATAGTAGTAATAATAATAATAATAATAGTAATAGTGGAAATAGTAGTAATAATATTAGTAGTAGTAATAATAAGAGTAGTAGTAATAGTAGTAGTAGTAGTAGTAATAGTAGTAGCAATAGTAGTAGTAGTAGTAATAATAGTAGTAGTAGTAATAGTAGTGGTAGTAGTAGTAATAACAATAATTGTAGTAGTAGCAGTAGTAGCAGTAGCAGTAATAACAGTAATAGTACTAGTAGTAGTAGTAGCATTAGTAATAATAACAATAATAGTAGTAGTAGCAGTAGCAGTAATAAGAATAATAGTAGAAGCAGTAGCAGTAATAAGAATAATAGTAGTAGCAGTAGTAGTAATAACAATAATAATAGTAGTAGTAGTAGCATTAGTGGTAATAGTAGTAGCAGTAGCAGCAATAACAATAATAGTAGTATTACTAGTAGTATCAGTAGTAGTAATAACAATAATAGTAGTAGTAGCAGTAGCAGCAATAACAATAATAGTAGTAGCAGTAGTAGTAATATCAATAGTAGTAGTAGCAGTAGTAGTATTAGTAGTGGTATATTCCTCAACAGACACGTATTCCTAGTTTTCATTACTTTAGCGAAATTAAATTAATAAAAAGAACTGAGTAAACAGAACTTATTTGATTTACACAACAAATAAAAATGAAAAACATTTCGCTTCACACATTAGATAATACAATTAGTTCCCAATGAAATTTTAGCAACAACACAAATACATATACACAGATATACACATATACTTACTACTATGCCTGGCTATGATGGAGCTGTGACAATATACTCGCCCGATGGGCATCTGCTGCAAGTGGAGTACGCTCAAGAGGCGGTGCGCAAGGGCTCCACAGTGGCAAGTCGCAAATGAATTGAAATATATTTATAAATATTTGACATAGCTCATTTGAGTGCCTTGGCTCCACTGTGCAGGTGGGCTTGCGCACCAAGGACTCGATTGTGCTGGGCGTGGAGAGGAAGGCGGTGGATGTGCTGCAAGTGGAGCGAACGGCGCGTAAAATTCGCAAACTGGACGATCATCTGGTAGTGACATTCGCCGGCCTGACAGCCGATGCGCGCATCCTGCTGAACCGCGCCCAGAGCGAGGCGCAGAGCCATCGCCTCAACTTTGAGCGACCCGCCACGGTGGAGTACATAACACGGTGAGTGACGAGGGAGATGGAGAGAGATGGATAGAGAGTTAGTTACAGTTCGACTGGCTGTCTGGTTTTTTTTTTTTTTTTTTTTATATATCGCCAAATTGAAGCAGAACTATACACAAAGCAATGGCAGGCGTCCGTTTGGCGTCTCCTGTTTGATAGGCGGCTTTGATGCGGACGGCAAGCCGCGTTTGTTCCAGACCGAACCCTCTGGCATCTACTACGAGTGGTCGGCCAATACCACCGGCCGGCTGGGCAAGACGATGCGCGACTATTTGGAGGTGAATGCGCCGGCGATGAGCAGCTCGCCCGACGATGCCGCCGCCATCAAGCATGTGGTGCGCGCCCTGCACACCGCCACGGCGCTGAATGCCAGCTTCTATGAGGTGGCGGTGCTCAAGCATCAGCAGCCCCTGCACATGGTCAGCCCCACAGTGGTGGCTCATTTGGTGCAGGTCATCAAGCAGGAGGCGGCCGACGAGGAGGCCAGACTGAAGAAGACTTTGAACACCAAAAAGTAAACTTTCTATATACTAGATATACATATATATTTCTTTGGAATCTTGTTAAATTCACGTTAGCCCGCTGCAGGCATTTGTTAACCTTTCGGCCCAATCAAAACTTGATGAATTTTTCCTTTTTTTGAAATTTAATTTTTGTTTTGTTTTTTGTTTTTTGTTTTTATTTTTGATTTGTGGGTGGGGCAAAAGTAATCAGCACGAAAAATGTGTAAACTGAGCAAATCACTTAATTTGCCTCAAGGGCATCTTTAAGCACTTCAGCGTCCACAGGACTACGCACACAAAGGCTGGACAGGATGCCTGTATGAGTGTGTGTGTGTGTGTGCGTGTGTGCGAGCAGCAAGTGCTAAAAAAAAAAAGAAAAAAGCGAGTTAAGAACTTTTAAGTGAAAATGGAAATTGAATTTGCGCCAAAAATTGCATACTTGCACAACAGAACTCACCCATACACACACACACACACACATCGATTTTGTTGCCTTTGGAGATATTTTTTGTGAGTCGGCTCGTAAATAGAGAGAGAGAGAGAGAGAGAAAGAGAGAGAGAGAGAGATTTCATACAGCTGCCATTTGGCAGGTGTTTGCGTGTTTTCCAAGTTATGGGGCAAGTGTTTTCAATCAAATGTGCGCCTTGGGTAATGCCTCGACCTCAGCTCCCAGCATCTAGTCTGCCGTATAAAATACTCTCATAGACAAACATTGAGACGTGTGGGAATCTGGAATTGTAAAAAAAATAAAGAAGAAGTAAAGGCGAATCTGTGAACTGTGATTTTGTTTTGAAATTGTTTGTAGGAAAGTCTTACAGCTTGAGTTATGTCCGGCATATTATCTATATGTCTTTAGACCAAGCAGCTTCATCTTAAATTTTCACACACTTTTTACTTGAGCTTTAGGATTCAATGGCGCATGTTTATGAAATGGATTCTTGTTTGATTAAATAGGCCAATGTTGTGACTCTTGGAGTTAAAATTTATATATAATCTTTCGCTAAATATAATAATAAAAAAAATTAAATAAAAAATACTGGTAGCAAAGTAAAATATTTAGTTAAATATTTAGAAATTCGTAATAAAATAAGGTTTTCTTCCCATTCTTACCTTTCAATACAAATCAAGAATTTAATATAAATGTATTAAGAATTTACTATCTCAGCTGAACAGCTATGACTAAACTCTGTCAAAAATTTAATTTATATCAAATACTTTATATTATTCTTAAAAGGAATAAATTACTTCAAATTAACGGAAATAAAGCATAAAAAAAATAAAATAAAAAATAAATAAATAAAAAATGAATAAATAAATAAATGGCATAAATTTGTCTTAAAATAATATTAAAATTCGCTTCAAATTAACGGAAATAAAGCATAAAAAAATTAAAATAAGAAATAAATAAATAAAAAATGAATAAATAAATAAATGGCATAAATTCGTCTTAAAAATAATATTCAGATTCACCTCATTTCTTAAGCAGCTTTAATTTTATTTTAAATTTTTTCCCACTACTTTTATATGCTCACTTTGCCTGAAAACATACATTAAAAAATCTAAAAATATATTTTAAATTTATGTAAAAAAATATAAGAAAACTTTCTGGTTTAAGCTTCTCAATATTTATTATACACAATTTTTTTTTATTTTATTTTTTTGTTTTTTTTTTTTGCCACAGTTCTTAATGGCCCTAAATAATAAAATGCTCTTAAAAAATAAATAATTAAATGAAATACTAGCAAGAAATTAATTTCAATTAACACCTCTCAGCCTTTATTACTCCCATCATATGTATATACATATATGTAAAATGTAGTGGCAGCCCTCGCTAACCCTTGAAGCTGGTCATGCCCGCCTGCATGATCTCATCGGTGAGCAGGAGGTTGCAGGCGATAATGGAGCAGGAGTTGAGTATCTGCTTCTTCACGCAGTAGTTGTCGTAGATCTGCCGCTCCTGCGGCACCATGGGCTCGCCCGTCTCCAGATCGAGTCCGATCGGCTGCTCCGAGTCCCTGGCCGCCGTCGTCAGCTTCACAATGGTGTCCTGCACATCGAAGCCGCTGTTGATGGCCAGCGTCTTGGGTATGACCAGCAGAGCGTCGGCAAACAGCCGGACGCCCAGCTGAGCCTTGCCCTTGACCTCGGCCTTCGATTTGGTCAGCGCATTGTAGGCGAGCAGCTCGAATGCGCCGCCGCCGGGCAGCACACAGGCGTCCACAATGGCATTCTGTATGGCATGCAGGCCGTCTCGTATGGCATCCTTGATGGTCTCGCTCTGGTGGCGCGACGGCGCTCGTATCAGTATGGTGACCGAAGTGGGATTGCGGCACTGCTTCACAAACGTATATTTGGTGTCGCCCAGCTGCTTTTCGTATACGAGGCCCGCGTAGCCGAGATGCTCCTCGCTGAGCTCTTCAAGGGAGTGGAGAGCTTCGCCGCCACAGGCACGCATCAGGCGCTCCATGTTGCGGCGCTTGGCGCGACGCAGGGCCAGAATGCCGGCCTCGGCGAATGCCTCCAGTGAGGGTATGTCGATGCCCTTCTGATTGATGACCACGAAGCCGTTCTTATTGTCGCTGCAGAGCTTCGTCTTCAGTGCGATAATCTTGGCCACGCGCTGGTCGATGAAGCGATGCTCCTCGTTGACGCACTTCTCCCGCTCTTCGGCCGACTTGTAGCAGAAGGACGAATCCACTGAGGTCTTCTCCAGCTCCAGCGACACGTTGCACGTCAGTATGTAGGCCTGCTCCAGGCGAGTGGGCATATTGACGTGACGGCCGCCGTGGTCCAGCACCAGGCCGTCCACCAGCTGGGTGTCCATCGTCGTGTACTGCTTGATGTCCATTAGCTCGATCATATTGAGATCCAGCAGAGTCTGGCCATCGCCGCGAATGCTTAGCACGGCCTTCACGCAGATGTCGGCCAGCAGGTCGGCCAGATTCCTGTCCACTTTGGTCCTCAGGCTGGTCTGGGCCAGGGCCAGCAGCGGGTCGCGCTCGACCTCGATGGGTATGCAGAGGGACTGCAGCAGGAGTTGCGCCCGCTCCTTGGCCAGCATGATGCCAGCGGTGAGCAGACGCGGATGCAGTCCGTCCGCAATCAGCATCTCCGCCTGCTTCAGCAGCTCACCAATCAGCAGCACAGTCGACGTGGTGCCATCCCCAGTGGCCGCATCCTGCGCGGTGCTCGCACGAGCTATCATCGATGCCGTCGGATGGCAAAAGTGCATCTCGTGCAGCAGCACATTGCCATCCTTGGTGATCTTGATGTCGCCAGCCGGCGAGACGAGCATCTTGGTGGTGCCCTTCGGCCCCAGGTTGCTGGCCATCAGCCGCTGCAGGCCCGTGGCAGCCGTGATGTTAATGCCCAAAGCTTGGGCGGCGCGAGCGAATTGCGCCTTTGGATTCAATAGAGTTATGCTCGCCATCGTTAAAGATTATTTATTCAGCAAAATTTGATTGTTAAAATATTTTGTACGTTAAGTTTCTCAATGAGAAATGAGACTGAATTTGTGTGTCCAAACGAACTGTCAGAATACGTTGAAAATTCCGTTTGACGGGGCTAGGCAGCCCCGAGCAGGGACTACAAAGAATGCCTTGCTTTCACTATTATCGATGTTTGCTTATCGATTATTGTAAACTGATTATTTAGCAACTTTGATTGAATAAATGAATAAATATTATTTGTCAGCTCTAGTCAAAATTGTTAAGATAAATATTTCAACTGAAACTCTGTTAAAATATTAATGTAGCAAATGCTAGCAAAATGTTAATAATTTCAGTTTAATAAATCGATGCTAAAAGCTCGCAGATATGTTACTCTTTATCGTTTCCCGATGTCTGCAAAGGAGTCTCTTTTACTCACACTCTGATAAAAAGACTCAAAGAGCAAACGATTGCTTCGTCTCTTTAATGAGCTCGTTCGCGATCGACTGCTTTGACTCGCTCTGATTGTTCTCCTTCCCATTCTTTGTTTGAGTGAAACGAAGTAAAAAGTCTTTGTGCATGTGTTGGTATGTATGCGAGAGATGTGTTCACTGACGATTGAGTGATTTTTAACAGTGGTGTTCGCTAAACACATCAAAAGCGTCGGTGAATTGAGTGTGTGCATGTGTAGGTGAATCTGAATATCGCTTGTATTGACTGTTTGAGTTATTTTGCTTACTTTTAAGTCTCAATTTGCAAACGTCAATCGTATTTATGGGTTTTCAAAATCTAAAATATTTAATAGTCTAACAAATATATAAAATAAATCATTGCTTGAGGCGGCGAATTGTCAATTGCACCAAGAACAATTTCATATTTTGCTCTGACAATGCTGTAACTCTGAAAGAATTTAATCAATAAAACTATAATTAAAATAAAAATTAAAAGGAAAACACATACATACAATATACAACATATAATCTTAGTGAAGGCAATAAGAAAAATTCTCATTTTATAAATTTGCCATTTATTTCCACTCTCTCTCTCTTCGTTTGGGTTTCAATGTATGTATGTGTGTGTGTGTGTGAATGTATGTATGTGTTCAGCTGTCGTGTAGGACGGATTGTCCAATCAAAATCCACTTGCTGCAAAGCGGCTAAGCTGTTAATAGGAATTACTTTTCGCTGTGGCTGCGACTGCGGCTTCGACAGCGACTGCGGCTGCGGCTGTTCGCTCTGTCTGTGGTTCTCTGTGCTGTGCTGCTGCTCCAGTCGAACCAATAAGTCATGTCTTTATTATTATTTACAGCCTTCCTTCGCACTCAACGGGCTCGAGTGAGTGTGTGTCGAGTGCTGTGTGTGTGTGTGTGTGCCGCTACTTTTTATGCTTCTTCTGGAGCTTTTCTTGATTTTGCCCGCTGTGCTCAGTGCCCAGCCCAGCACTCACACTTATCACACTTAATTTCATTAAGTAATTTTTCATAGGGCAACTTTTATTGAGTTTTTAAACTGGCAGAGCGCATAATGCTGGGCAAGTGAGAAGCGAAAAGAGGAAAGGAAGAAATAACAGAGAGGGAGAAAAGAGAGAGAGAGAGAGAGAGTGGGCGAGGAAGGGAGGAAGGCAAGCATTTTGTTGAATATTACAATTGAGCTGTGCTTGGCTTTTATGACGTATACGCCATGTGTTCTTTCTTTGGCATTGCCTGCCTCTGACTCTGCCTCTGCCTCTGCCTCTGCCTCCGACTCGACTGCTCGCTTTTGTCCTTGCAGCAGCTCTTCCGTTAGCATTTACTCATTTTACGCCTTTTGTTTACGGCCACTTGTTGCATCGCCCCATTGTCTTTGGTTTGTTTGCCTTGTTGTTCTTTCTTTTAATTGCCGTCTCGTTGTCATTGCGCTCGCTTGCTTTCAATTTTAAATCACTTTCCTTTTCAACTTTTCTGCTAACTCGAATTGAATTAAATTGAACAAAGAACTTAATTATATATCGCTTTAGGTATTCATTTATTTATTTGGTTTTTGCTAATGCATTTTGTGGTCTGTTTGTATTTTCATTTAATTTGAAATATTTATGCAATTATTTCCCTTCGGCTTTTTGCTGGAATTCTATTCAATGGCTGACATAGTTCATGAAACACCAAACTCTAGATCGCAGCTCTTTTGTTTTGTGTTCCACTAAAAAAATTGATGTGTTGTGATAAAATTTCGTAAAGGTTTATTTTTTTTTTTTTAACAAATCCTGTTGCGTAAACAGCGTGGTTCAATGTGATTTTCATACCCTGTGATTGGCTGTGAATTGGCATAGTTGATGTCTCATATGATTTTAAAAATATGTTGATTACTACGAAATTTTTTAAAATTATATAATTATTATATTTTTATTTTATATTTATAAAGATTTCGATAATCTAAGTGATTTTTAATGTATAAATTTAAATAATCATGATGAAATATTAATTTATACTTGTATATAATATAATAATATAATAATATATATACAAAAATGTGTTTGTTATCGATAATTTGTTTCAGGTAACAAAATATAGTTATCGCTTGAAACTTATTGAATTGTATAGTTATAGGGCATCTGCTAGTCGACTATTCTCGAATATTATGTGTTATTTACCAATTGAAATGGCATCCGAAAGGTTCGGGAAAAAATGAAAATGTTTTCTGCGCATTGCATTGCTGTTCCATTTTGATCTTTTGTTCTTGTTGTTTTGTTGTTTATGAAGAAGAACGTATTTTAGAATTGAATTTTGAGCCAAATACGAGCCAATCCGTTGCGTGCATCCAGCACGCCAGCCGGCGCTTGGGGCTATTGTTTCCTGCAATTTGAACGGGAGCACAAACGAAGAAAAACAAAAAATGTGATGGAACAACTGGCGGCATCTGGACGTGATGTTGGCATTCCAAAATTTGAGATTACTAATTGAATTTGTGGCCATGGGCCATCTATAGATGGCTAAGAAGCTTACACTTTATTTATTATTTATTTAACAATTTACTATACAAATATATTTTATTTTATCTACGCCTTACTGCTGTCAGGCTTATGAGTTAGTAAAGAAGTTTCGTATGAAGTAGATTACATGGCCATAGGCCAAGCTATGTTGATTAATATAGGGATGATATCATTCAGAAAGTGAAATTATTATTTGTCATTAAAATTCTCACGTGATCAATAGTTCTACGAATGCCAAATCAGTTACGGTTCAATTGCTAATTCGTAATGTGTTAACGCAACGTAAAGTAAATATAACGCAATGAAACGTAAGATAACATAACGTAATATAAATTATCGTAACGTAACAAGAAAAGCAATGTAACGCGATCTTGACTTGACATAAAAGAGCACAATATAACGTAATGTATATAAATACTTATACTTAAAATTAAGTAACGTATTAATATAATATGTAATGCATCGGAATTTAACGTAACGCCCAAACAGTAATGTAACAATATAACGTAATGTAAAAATATTACGTAATATAAAGTTACGTAAAACTATAACGTAATAAAGAGTTTCGTAACTATTACTATTACTATTACGTAATATAAAGTTACGTAAAACTATTACGTAATATAAAGTTACGTAAAACTATTACGTAATATAAAGTTACGTAAAACTATTACGTAATATAAAGTTACGTAAAACTATTACGTAATATAAAGTTACGTAAAACTATTACGTAATATAAAGTTACGTAAAACTATTACGTAATATAAAGTTACGTAAAACTATTACGTAATATAAAGTTACGTAAAACTATTACGTAATATAAAGTTACGTAAAACTATTACGTAATATAGAGTTACGTAAAACTATTACGTAATATAGAGTTACGTATTGATATGACGTAACATAATAATATTACGTCAATAATGTAGTATTACGTAACATTGTATTTTTAGGTAATATCATATTATTACGTATTAATATGCTATTACGAAATATTATAACGTTGAGTGATTTAATAATATTACAAAATCATATAAATTAACGTAATAATATAATATTACGTAATAATAAAATGTTACGTAATAATATAATATTACGTAATAATAAAATGTTACGTAATAATATAACGTAACGTGAAATAATATAGTGAGACGTTAAGTAATATAGCGTAACGTAACGTAGGAAAATCGAAATAAACTTGCCGCAAGCTTTGTATTTATCTAAGTTCTTTGTGTTTAAAGTAAATCTTGACCCAAGATTCGGGCTCAGTTGATATGAAATGCGCAAACAGTAAAATTATTTCAACTCAAACCTTTTTTGGCATCTGTATACATAATAAAACCCATTTTTAACACTTGATCATTTATTCGATTAAACTTCTAGACTAATTCTAAGTCTGAGCTGGCCCTTTTCTGCGGGTCAAAGTACCGCTAAGCAGCATCAGTTTGCCTTATCTCAACAAACCCTTTTCGCACTCTTATCACTTGATAAATTTTGTCTCTTTACATAAAATAGAAATAGACTGAGTAATACTTATTAGAAAGCTCAACAGGAGAATGCCCGACTTTTGGTGCATAATTAGCCCGCACTTCCTGCGACAGCCCGAGGGCTTCGTTGGCCAGGACGACGGACGACGACGGTTGGCTCATCTTTTGGGCAATTTATTGGCAAGTGCCGTGCCTGGAATAGAACCGGTCAAACAGACACAGCTGGGCTGACCAATCAGCGATTGGTGGCAACCGCTGCAAATGAGTTAAGTTCAGTTTGGCGGCTGGCAAACTTTTCATAACTTTTTCGCTAAGACGATGCGGACCGTTGCGTTAATTGGAGCTGCGGGATCTGCTAAGCGCCGCAGCGCCACAGAATACAAAGTTGAACGGCGGCTGATTAAACCGTCGGGAGAGCCGGCCGAAGAAGAAGTGCGCTGTGTAATTATCTTGATGAGATTCGCTTGGCCAGTGGAGGTGGCAAGGTGACCCGCGCCCTGACCGTGGAGATGCTGCTGCGGTGGGTTCATCAACCGCTTGCGCTGGGTTAAATTAAGTTATGCGTGCAGTGGAACGAAGCACTTGACATGTCCTCCCCTAATAAGCTAAATGAAAACAAAAATGCCAGCCGCCGAGTCAAGTCAAGGCGCTCGCAAATTGACGACAAAGTAACCTAATAACTTTTAACCCGCACAATAATTGGAATTTATG